GATATACAACAAATATCTTTAACAATCTTTCATTGTGTTGTGCTAGAATCTACATCAAAGTCAAGCATTCACGCTACAAATGTGAGAAACTACGTTAATTTAGGTACAACTTATAACTTTATATTCTCTTCAAGTGTGAAAAACTATATTCTATATGTATCTAATATATATATATATATATATATATATATATAAAATAAACAATGTGTATGAGTTAAACTACAAACCGATCCATTCAGTCCCATCAATAAAGCTAAGTGAAAGAAAAGGTGCAGCTTCCTCGTCTGTGAGTTCTCTTGACCATGATACTCTCCCTGCAAAGTTTGCTCCAGGTCCTGTGCATTTGTACTGTCCGTAGAATACAGTTCTGGTGGTGGACCCAATAAGATACAAAATATTAACATAACAACAAATTAAACTATCTATTAGCATAAGCCCACCCGCATGCCAATAAATGATGTGAGAAGAGAGATAGACACAAGAAAAATGTTAAACAAATTTGTTCCAGAAGTATATCTCCATCATTAATAAGCTAAGGAATTGGACACTTGTGTGAAAAATATTTTCTAAAATCCAGAAATAAAGTAAAATTTTGGTAAAATCAAATGCTAAATGAGCAAAGCATACATATAATTATATGTGTGAGGAAATAGAACATACATTTCACGGTTAGGATCACCCCAGTTATACCAGCCTTTGGGAATAATAATGTTGTCCATATATGTGTAAGCAAAGACCACGCGAGAAAAGGGTCTCCAAGCCCTTCCAAGGTACAGTGCCCCAGATCCCGTGACCTTACAGTTCACAAATGAGAACCCCGTGTCTTGCCACATACCACTCCTTCCTTGAGCTGTAACTGCCCCTATCTTCTGTGCTATGGCATGCACGTGACATCCCTATAGTATAGTGTCACAAACATAATGATCATATTTCGGTCCAACATATATTGCAAACTATATAAGAGTTTAATGTCTGTAATCAATCACAAATCAGAATAGGTATGAGTTGTAACTTAATTATGTTAAAAGTCAATACATGCATATACCATTTACTCATATAATAATTTGTAAAAGTAAAACAACTCATTTATTGCTCACATTTGTTAAATAATGAATGTAGTACAAAATTGGTTAGGTTATATGCTGATGTGGCCTGAATTAAAACTATGGCATTCCATGTTAGAGGTAGTAATTGTTATTATGGAGAGAAGATCTCACCTCAAACAGCGAGAGAGAGTTGCCAAATATGAAATCAACAGAGCCTTCAATGTAACAATCCTTGTAGTAATGTCTGCCTAAATGATCATAAAGTGTATCTTGTGCTCCTAAGAATTTGCAGCCTACAAATGCTGCTGTGTCTGCTGAAATCCTTAATGCCACAGCTTGCACCCCAACTTCTCCTGGTGCAGGAACAGGAGTTGTGTTCTACATTCACAAGTCACAGCATATATTTGTAAAAGTAAAACACAAAACACACACAAAGCTAAATTGGGATTGAAATAGAGGGAAGGGTTTTTTACTTGGAACGTGATGTTCTTGGCAATGAAATAAGGTGAATTCACTGTAAAAGTTGCTGAATCATGGGTTCCCATTGGTTTCCCATTTGGACCAAGAGTTTTAGCAGTGTCACCCCATTTAACAATGGTTTCATCTGCACCAGCTCCTTCTATTGTTATGAAGGATTTCGAAGCAGGGATGTTAACTTTCTCCCTGGACATACACACAAATGCAATGGGGGAAATTAGAGGCTTCCATTCAAACGCAATTCACAATTCACTACAATAATAATTAATAGACAGAAGAAAAATTGCATAATGTAACATGGAGATATAAGACCAATTCTGAGAATTTGAATGATTGAATCTGAAGGAAAAAGACATTAGAAGAAACAAAAGTTTCAAACGCTATCGTTTTCCATCATCACAGCAAGTGTAAACTAAAAGAAAAAAACAGAAATAGAAATAGAAAAACACAATCCTGAATGCAGACAAACAGCAAAATCCACGTCTTACAAGAACCAATCCACAATTTGAAAAGGGCACAAAGAAAAAGGACCATAATGTGGCAGAATTCTATTAAAGTACATCAAAAATAGTACTAGTACTCACGTGTAGACCCCTGCATGGACTTTTATGACCACTCTCACGAGATTGCTGAATGGAAGGGAATCAATGGCTTCTTGAATTGAGGTAAAATCCCCACCATCAGGATTCTTATCAACGTGCAAAGCGTAAGAAGCCACAAGATTATTTTTAGCTGCCTTAAAAACCGAGTGTTTGAGGTTACCAACAAAATCCACCCATTTCATGAATTGCTGTTCAGAATACTGCACTCTAGTCATGTTGGTGGATAACCCATTACCTGCAGAGCTTGGTCTAATTCCCTTGGTATGACAATGTATTCTATTGGGATTTTGCAGAAGAAGAAGAAGAACTGCTAACATGCTTAGCATGTAATGCAAGTTTGACATTGAAAGAAATCAACAAATAGAGATTGAAAGGAGAAAAAGAAAGAAATGTGAAATGAGATTGAGAAAAAAATGATGTTAGTAAACATAATATAACACTAATGAGGAATGGTATTTGAAGTGGCCAAGAATTTGGTTTGTGCTATGGATTTATATCCTAGTTAAGCTACTTAGTTTTAGGTGTGAAGAGATCCAGTGTAGCTGAATCAGAGAAACAATGACAGAGAAGGATATGTCACGGGTGATTCTACTGACATCCATGTAGAAAAAGGGAAAGAGAGAGAAACAATCTCAACCACAGGACAGGTTACACTTCTTTCGAATAAAAACATTGTCTCAAAGAGACATTTAGTCAGTGGTCATCTTCCCTTTGTTGTTTGTTTGGTGTTGCCCGTGAGCCTCTTTCTGTTTGTGCATGATTAAGGAATTATTCTGATTGAGATAATATAATGGGTTGAATTGTACTTATATGCATTATCAGATAATTTAATTCATACAATAAATTATAAAAACTAAGAAAGAGAATCATTATCACAACTCTTTGCATAAATAACATTTCATGTGAAAAATATACAATCTGAGGCCAGCTTTTCTTGCTTATGCATTCTGAATAAGTGAATTGATAAGAGTTTTGCAAACTATGCTCTAAGGACACCGGTTAAGAAATTAATATATAAAGAGTTTCTTTGAAAATTAAAATAAAATTATATGAAAGAATGTGCATATATGTATATTAGCTAAAAAAAAATTCTTTTAATTCTTTAACCTTTAAAGATACCGGTTAATATTTTCCTTATTGATAATACCTACTCCCGAATCATGGCCGTCCAATTTTTGGGCCTTCATTAATGTAAATAGATTCTTCTTGTTGTTTAGCAGATTACGGTTATTTGACCACTTGGTAATGGTTCAGATTTTCTCATTTCTAAATTCAATGTAAGAAATTCTCTGGGTACCCAAAAGGCCAAAAAGGACCAGGCACTTCGGCTAAAACAACAACGGTGAGGCCGAAGTCAGAACTCTAGTGATGTAAAAGAACCTGCACCAGGACAAAACTACAATTTATGCATGCTTTATTTTCGTCATTATCTTTTTACCTTCTGCGACCATCCCCTCTAGTTGAGAAAATTTCTCTTAAATTCATTTAAGATATGGAAAAAATTACTCTTTATAACAAGTCTAATGTTTTGTTCTCTAATATTTTAAATAGAACGAGTCAAAATTTATAGCGTTTTGTAATCTTCAAATAAAAACTCATGCACAAAACTTACAGTAACTTCTACGATTAAGAAGATAATCATCAAAGTATCTCGATCAATTTTCTGAAATCTAATTATTTGAAGAAATACTTAAAATTTGAGTATGTGTGAGAGTAATTTTCTTAATATTCAATGAATTGTATTTTTTTTTAAAATCTTGATGAGTGTAAAAATATAAAGATCAAGTTGAAAAAGTTGATAAAGCTGACTTGAGAAAAAAAGAAAAATGATCTTAAAACATAAACTTTTAGTAACTGTTTTCCAAACATAAATTATTACTGTAAAAACTATATGATTATAATAATTGGACGTTCCCTTACTATGTGGCTATCCAACTATGAATCATACAACATTTTCGGTCATTCAAAATATTGACTACCATACTTATATAATCCACTTGAACCACTGTGTCCAGTCCATAATCTATTTGATAGCCATCAACTTCACAATTATACATATAATCTTAATTCAACTTTTAAATTGAATCGAATCGGTCTATTTTATAAAAATAGATCGATTAACTAACCTATTTTCTTATAAAGTGAATTAGTTTAATTTTTTAAAAATATAAATTAAATTTTTAAAAAATAAATTAATTTGATGCGACTACCTATTTTATATTTATGAGTTATTTTTTTTAATAAAATCGAATCAATCCATTTTGATAGATCGAGTAACTAAATTAGTTTTACAAAGTACATTGATTCAAGTATTTTTTTTTAAATAGATCAAATTTTTTAATATCAATCAAGTTGTATTACTTAACAAAAATATCTCTCATGTGTATTGACAACTTACACTCCCTACCTTAATTTACTACACAATAAAAACTTGTATCCATTTTCATTGTGTTGAGTAAACAATAAAAATGTGTTTCCGGCGAGAATGATTTTTGTAAAAAAAAATAAAAAAAAAGAAGTAATTAATTCCTAAACATCTCTGGTGATTGGTGGAAACTGAACCTGAATCCTCATCCAGTTTTATTTGAAGGTGTCTATCTAAAAATGTCAAAATCCAAAAGTAATTTTTTCCTGGAAAATTGTAGCACATTATATTACAATATCATACTGAACACAAACGTATTCAATTAGACGAAATCTGCTTGTTAAGTACAGACGTAATCTCACCACCTACTTATGCCATTAACACTCGAAGGTAATAAGGATAATGTCAATGAAACTAGCAATAATTCCCTGTTCATAATAGCTACGGTAGGGATCAGGTGTACAAAAAATTGGAAAGTATACAGGGGGGTGACCTTTAATGACTACCGGGTAGGTTGACTCCTATAACTTAATTTATGTACAATTTTAACCACTAGGATTTGACACTACTTATGTACAACAATAATCAATTAAGAAATTTATTTCCAAACCTTGATGGCCCCATCTCTACCACTTGAAAGTAAGAGTCTCTGGTTTAACTTGATAGAAGCCAAAGAAACAATAGAGTCACGGTGGCAACCAGCAGAATCAGTGGCAGCAGCTGCTAGAATTGCCTTTGCTGTCAGCTTGATTGTAAGAGGACGTCTTTTTGTTTCCTGTTTATAAGAGTAAAAGATAAATTTTAGCTGCCTATATTTCCAGAGATACAAGCAATATCCAAGAGCATTTATAAGGCACCATGAATTCAACCCATAAAACCTTCAGTGATAACAGATACTTAGCCATTACAAACACATTGTTTTGTAATAGCTAAATCTCTGTTATCCCTGACACAAGAAATAAGCTGATTGAGAACATCCCCCTTCGAACATTATGCACACAAGAAATAAGAAGCTTGTATACACACTCTATGGAAACATAAATTACCTGTACAACTTGCACCCCAAAACTAGATTTTGTTTCATAAAAATCATCATTTCCTACACCTTTTAAGTTTGGTCCACAAATACAGTAACTTTTGTCAGGACTGCAACAAAGAATACATATTAATTCAATCAGACCATTCTTGCAAGAAAAACATGTAACAAGATTAAAAGTTCAACAAAAAACCTGTAATGATCCCACCGACGTATCTTTAAATCAGTGCCTCCAGTCAATAAATCACCCCCAGGCAAGGGAAGTAATGAACGAATACCACGAAGACGAGGAGGAGGTTCATTTAGCTCATCAACTCTATATTTGCGATTAACATTTTGTCTTACATCTGATTGAGAATGTGGCTTACTTAAAGGTCTGGCCAAGGCCCAAGGCAGATCAGACATTTCGGCATCACTGTTATAATTGGCCATCCTTAGGACCTGCGAGAAGATTTGTTAATTGTACAAGACAATAATCAGAATACTATAGATATGAAACATTGAAACATAAGATTCAATTCAACAAGGTTAAATGTGATTCAACATGGTTATAGCACTCTGGGTACAGGTTCATGCACTAAGCTTACACAACTGATAAAAACAAACGATGGTAACCTAACCATATTTTCTATGGATAAATAGAAATTTGAATTTGAACCTCGCTGGAATATTTGTTAGTACTGCATTTTGTTCTAGAACGTATTGCTTTTATTATCTACAAGCAGATTAAAAACAGAAACCCATACCTGGTGGCAGATAGCATTCTCTGCATTCCAAAGAGAAACTTCATTGCAACCAGCAGCCACATAAACAAGGGGCCTATCGGCTGAAGACAGAGAAGCATTTGAAGGAGAAAGAAAGAGACACATCTTTTCTATAGGGCAAGCAAGAGAATACTGCCAAGAATTCACAGGTACAAGAAACCTCAGATCCCAAAGTGTAATAACCCCCCGGGATGACCCTGATACAAACCAATTACTACAAGGCCCTGATGCCAGACAAGAAGCATAGCCCTCCTCAGGAGTAGCTTTTAGAGTCCAGGTATTGGAATTTGACCTAGTGTCCAACAGATGAATGCCACAGTTCTGGGTGCCATACATAATGGTATAATTATCCACAGGGCAATTCAAAAGGCTGAGTATGGCACCTTCCTTGATATCCTTCTTTGTGATATTAGCAATACCAGAATATTTCTCAACAACGTTTCCTAGACCTCTAGAGATATGATCAACAGAAAACATATGAATAAATCCATCAGATGCTCCAATTATAACTTGTGTAGAACCTGGAAGCATTGTTGCACACAGCACACGGCTTCCCTCCAGGTGATAAGTTAGCTTTGACCTGAATGAAATGTCCTTTTCCAGCTTTCTGGAATCCCAAATCTTGACGGTAGAATCATCAGATGCACTCACAAAGAAGCTATGATCAGCAGAAGTAGCTATGTCATTGACAGCTGAACGGTGCTCAAGGAGGTGTGCAACCAACACCCCACGAGGCCTCCAACCAGAATCAGGAATGGTTGCTCGATCAGAAGATGAAAATCCTGATAGATCAGTTTGGGCATTTGCATCTTCTGGTGCGATTGAAGTACCTTTAATATTAGAAGATAATCCCACATCTTGAAATGTGCTATTAAAAATGGTTGACTCATTTTCCAGGGCATCTGGTTCATGAACCACTTGATGGAACTGTTTAGAACCATTGCTGATGCTAAAAGAACCTGAAAGAAGCTTTGGTGCTGGAACTGAACTAGCCAAATTAAAGGACTCACTAAGTGGATTAACCAAAGGCATTGCAGATGAACTAACACCTAAAGAATTCATTTGGAGTGGAGGATCGGATGCTGCAGGAGGGATTCCCATTCCTTGCCTGTCCACATTGAAGGAGTACAAAGGTATGCCTTCTGCTGGCTTTTCATATGTCAAACTGTTCAGACCACTAAAATGTGGTGACATAAATCCTGAAAACTGTAACTTCTCCGGGCATTGGGTATCACGATGTACTGTAGTACTGCTATCATTATGCATAAATGCCCCCATATCTCTCAATTTTGCCTCAGCTTTGTCACAGTCAGTTAGTCCTGGCAGTTGGAAGGTGCCAACAGTTTGTTGAACCCCAAGACCTTGTTGCTTGTCAGTCCAGTTCTTCAATGAGTCCAACTCATCAGTTCCTTTTTTCAGTAAATCCTTTTCCCATAGTCTAGATTGTGAAGAATTATACCATATTTTTCTTTGCCTTTCTAACATGTCCGAACTCATGGAATTCTCCAAGACTTCATAGAAAACCTGTCCTGAGACAGGAGGTTTTAAACAAGACATAAGAGCCTTCTCTGAAGCAAGAGACACAGGTTGCCTGTGGAGGAAAGGCTGTATAACAGGAGCAAGGAAGACATAAGAATCTACTGCACCCAAGCTCTCACTGCTAGCTGCAATAAAAGAGACAACTGATCTCCGTACCCATTCACTAGGATAACACAACAAAGGAAAGGCACGGTCTATCATTTGAAGTAATATCCTCTTCCGGAAGAACCCACTTTTGCAAAGAATAGTCAAACATTCTAAAGCTTTGACAGTGACAGCTTCTATCATGTCACTTAAAGCTTGTTCAATGTAAGGTAATAAATATTCTTCTACACTTCTTTGGCCCACAAAAAAGCAGACATAAACTATCTTTTCATAGAATACGGTCCTTAATTGCTCATCCTGATCATTTAAGAAAGCAGGAAGGATAGGTAAGAGAGAGTCATTACTCTGTCTCACACCAAAGAAGCAGCACAGTTTACCAATATCTTGTAGAAGTGCTCTCCTTATATTTGGGGTTTGCTTTGGACCCATAACAAGTTCTTGGACAACCTCCGCAATGGATTTCCTCAGCTGCAGAAGTTGGGCATCACCATTTATCCTCTTCATTCTTCTAGAGGTCCGAGTAGATGATGTCAATGGCTTCTGTTGTGAATTCAATTCATCTAGGACACCTGCCTCACTTAGGCTTATTGAACGTATCAAGAATCCATGAGCAGTCAGAGCCAGCTTAGCTATATTGCTGGCATAACATATCCTGACACTTTCCTCTGGATCATCAGGAAGCATTGAAAGCATTGGAAGAATATACTCAGGAAATATCTTTGCATCACTGGGAGGAAAATCTCGCACCAAGGGAAGAATGTCACACAAAGTCTCTAAAGCAGCACAACGCACAATTGCTGCTGGATCTGAAAGCATTGCAATCACGTATGGGATAACACGCTGCAAACGATCTTCATCATCAATATATAGGGCAGAAGCCTTCAACAAGAGTACAGCTGCCCTCCTCAGGTGAGGCAACTTGACATTGCGTATGCAGGAGCAGAGCAAAGAAGTTATCAAAACCATGCCTTCACATCTCATTCTATCCTTCGGTAAGGGTAAAAAGGGCATTCCAAATGTATCTGATTGACTATCATACTGAGACATCAATGAATTTAAATCATTCATATTAATACTTTTCAGAAAGGGATGGTCATTTCCTCGAAATGCACTGGAGATAGTTTGAAGCAGTTTACCAGTTTGCAACTTTTTAAGATTTTCAGTAAAGGTAGAATTATGTGCATTTCCTGTTACATGCGATGGATTATTAACTTTTTTAGCATCCCTCAGTAGGCTATTTATATCACCAAGAAGTTCATAGTGATCATGGACTAAGCCTTTGTCTATGTTCTGTCTCCTCATCAATGAATCCCCCATGAAACTCACACTTTCTTTAGCAACCACTTCTTCCAAAAATTCCCCAGAATTAACACCTGCCTCATCAGATGACTTCTTGTTCATCATTTGTTTAAGTATCTCTGGGAAAACACTTTGGCATAGTAAAATCTACATGGATTGGTCAAAGCAATAGGGTAAAATAAGTCTTTTAGAAAGCATCAAATCATTAATGATCTAAAATATTTCAGCAAAGTCATATACCCTCATATCAGAATGAAGAGGACTCCAACATTGGTAAAAGTTATGCAGAAATGGTGAAAAATAGGTTGGAATTACAACTTCAGCATATTCCTTCAGATATCTTTCAGCAGAAAATCGAGACTCTGGTTCTAACTGAACCATGTGCAATATCATCTTACGGATTCCAAGATCAGGTATCTGCATCCCATAGAGAATACAATATTTAAAATATTAAAGACCAAGTCTTGAACATCAGTTGGGGTATCCCTACTGATGTAACTACAGGAGGACCAAACAAGACTAACGCATGCGCACAAGGTAAAAAATACTTTTTCAAGATGTTGACATGGATCATATTGTCCTCTGCGATAAGCAAGAAGTTGAGACAGTTCAAATAGTGGCTGCCCCTCAAGGAAAAGTTCAGCAATGACACACCTGAAGATGTAAAATGATTTTTTGAAACTTGGAAAATAAATAACAAAAGCACAACAAGAAAACAGTATTAAGGTGATATAACTACTACTAAACCACATTAATTACTGCTTCCACAAAATAGATGCAGAGAGTTCAGGTTGTTCAACATAAGTTTTTATAAAAATCAAATCAATAGCAGATTGAAACATCACCACTACCTCACCATAATTACAGCAGTATAATGCCTTGCAGATCAATTCTTTTCTCCATTGCTAAGTCAGTTAATTAAATTCCATGCGCTTAAATATTCCTATTGCAGCCTGAAATATGGATGGTTGAAAAACTAAAACATCTTCATGATTAAGATACTTGTAGCAAAGAATGCTCACCCGACAGCAAATATATCCATATAGGATTTTAAGGGAGTTTCTTGTGCCACCTGCAGCTCCTCTCCATGCTCATAAAATCTCTAACATGCCACAGCCCCAAAATAAACGAAAGAAAGAAATAGAGTTAATAACATAATCGTATTTGGCATGAACAAGTAGCAACCAACAAGAAAACACATAATTAGCGGCACACTACAAGGATTAACATTTATCCTCACTAATTGCATTTTTCTTTTAACACAAAAGACCATAAAAAATAATTTGTGCAATAAAGGTCAAAAGATACCTGTAATTGTACAATAATTTTGCAAAAATGGTCAAAAATGTCAAATCTACAAAAAAGAAAGTCTAAAAATTTACCCTCTAAGATCATGACAGATTGTGTGTTCAACTCAGTGGTCAGTTTCAATTCACAATCACAGATTTGTCTAATTTATAAGCCTGTGACGAAAATCAACCCATCAAGGTCGCTTGCTGAATTCATAATTGAATTAAGCCTCTAAACAGCGGATTACCTGGTAAGCACTCCACTTGCATCTTTTTTTATAAAAAAATAAATTAATTAAAAAAAGGAATCAGAGAAAAATACACAACAACATCATATTTAATACTTTCACAACACAACGTGTAGATCTAGTTTCTAACTCAATTGTAGAAAAAAAATGCATCTTGATTGAGCCAACAACTGAAAAAAGAAAATACAAACAATAATAAACCAAATAGATATAAAAGGGAAAAGAAAACCTCAGGTGCAAGATAACAGAGTCTTCGGCCAACAGTGTCAAAGAAATAGGAGAAATCAGAGGGGTCATCATATGGAATGTAAGTGGGTTTGAAAGATGCAAAATCAGCAAGGTAAAGCCAATTGGAAGACGTAATCAGCACATTCTCACACTTGATATCACCTTAAACAAAATGCAAATTTACACAGATAACATCAATGCATTGACAATCAAACTGCGAAAAAAAAATTTATACCATCATCAGCTAATAGATCCTTCTCCCTTTGAAGGGTGGGGTTCAGGACTTACCGTGACACACTCCTTTCTGGTGGCTCTGTTTTACAGCTTCAAGCAACTGTATATTACCCCAAACAAAAGATTAATAGAAAAAAATAAAATAAAAATCAAAAGCTAACTAAATCCATAGGGAAGTGAATGAACGAAGAATACCTGAAAAGCCAACCATTTCTTCTCAACAAAACTGAGAAAAGGACGAGTGCTTAACCTATCATGCAGATTATGAAAGAAATGCTGCCTCAAAAGATACGCTGCTTTATCTGTTTCTAGCCAAAACTGCAACACGAGACTCGCACACACTCAGTTCCACACAATTGAGTGTATGTTGGATCAACATTTGCAACATTGATTTTAAAGCGATGTACTATGTGTTAAACATTTATAGTAAAAGTCAGTATAACTTCAAAGCTATCTAAAGTTGCTTCAAGTAAAAAATCAATCATAAGGATCAATTACTTATCGTAGAACAAAACATGTAAACATTAAATCCTAAAGTGAATCTAGATAATCTAAGGTGACGCAATTGTGGAAATGAAGGAATAAATGAATTAATTGAAAAGAGAGGGGAAACGATGGAGACCTGAAAGGGCCAAACGTGAGGGTGAGGGATGGAGCTGAAGATTCCTTTGATCTGAGAGAGACTGCGTTCGTAGTGAGAGAGATCGAGGAAATCGCCACGCTTGAAATAGACCTTGACGAGGACCAAACCCTCGTCGTGTTTGCACTGAATCGACTTCAAGAAGCGACCGCGACCTAGCACCTCCTTCAGAACCAGATTGTACGTCGACGGCAGATCGTGCAGGTAATACTCCGAAGCCGAAACCTGCGTCGTGCGCGCGATTTTGTTCCCCATCGCCGCCGCGGAACCTAACTTCTCATTGCGTTTTGGGATTCTGAGTTCAATCAATAAATACGTTTCGGCTCTCTTTGCGTGCGCTTCTCGATTACCGCTTCCTTCATGTCACATGCATCATGCATCATGCATCATGCATCATGCATCATGCATCATGCATGCACGCGAGTGGAGTGCAAGCATGTAATGTAATTGCTTACGTTTACGTCCATAGCCCATGGGACACAAGATTCACACCACCATAATAAATAAATAAATTAAATTACTAGTGATTTGTAAAATTATCATTGCTCTATTATAATTTGGTTCAATTTGATGCAAACTAACTTGTACTTCAAAAATGTCATTCATAGTAAACTAGTAAATTTCGCACTAAAATTATTATCATTTTAAGATTATCTCCATTATCTTAAGATAGAATGTTTTTGAGGATTTATTAATTGGCTCACAATTCTAAAACATGGAATAGTTTGACATTTTATCGAATAAAACTTAGACGTGATATTATAGAAATATTATAGAAATTGTTGATATTTACCCTATTTAAATATTAATATAATTACCTCTTCGGCACAAACATGGAATGGTTTGATAATCGTATCATATGTTTTTGATACGAGAATCAAAGTACGCAATATTCAAAGTAAAGTTAAGAGATAGTATATTGGAGTTTTCCCTCAAAATTATGAGAAATTATATACAGGTCACAAATTGTATACATCTTGCAGAGAAGAGAAAACCTAAAGTTTGATCTCAAAGAGGATTTGGTGCATGTCACATGAATTAAGGTAATCATTGAGTCAGACTGGTAATTCTTGTAACAGGTAAGAATCATACCTCCATGAAAAATAAACCAATAATGAATCTACTATGTAGCTAACTGATCATATGGCTGATTCAATAAGCTGATGAAGATGCAATTGCAGGACTCAATTTTCCCGATTTTTTCACCCCAAATAAGCAACAACTCTAATTTAACAGGCTGAATCTCAAAAGTTCTTGTGAACAACAATGGAAGGCCTAGACCCTCCAAGGAAACTCTTTCTTTTGGTTATTGTTGATGCAAAAGACCTTCTTGAAGCTTTCTTGGATATTGTAGCCTTTGGAGTGTACGATGTTCTGTGTCTATCTAAGACTCTCCCAAAACTTCTGCATGATTTCATTCTCTTTCTATAAGATGTATCTTTCTTAGGAAGATCTTCTATGCTCTGCACCCTAGCTAAAGAAGTGAAAGACTGTGTCTTCCCTTGAAAGAACATAGATAATCCATTTCTGCACAGGTCAATATATAAACTGCTTAATTAACACAACAACTAATATATACCAATTCTAAACATTGATGATATGAGTGTCATGTGTGTATGTGTCTAGTAAAAGGAAATTGAATAAAAAAAAAAAGAAAAAGGCATTGCTTACTTTATAGGGAGATCGTTCACGAGGTCTGATAATTCATATAAAGGTCCATTTGAATGTGCTGATGAAGAAGGTGTTGAAGAGGACGCGTCGTCGGTTAACTCTGACGAAGAACACACAGAATCCATTGAGTCTTCTGAGACGAGTCCAATAGATGATGAATCATTGCTGTCTTCCTTAATCACCCAGTTGGTGTTTCCAGCTCCATCACCATCCATGATTCTCTTCACGTTCATCTCTAGAAAAAAATTATGTGTCTTGCTCATTCTATGTTAAGAAGAAATTTGTTTGTAAAGATTGTCTTCTATAAAACACAGTTCTGTCGGATGGAACTATTATGAATATTAAATTTCTTCTTCCGAAAATCTAGATACCTCGGTGAATCATATGATATAAAGTGTATGGAGCAGTTATGTTCTACTGTTAAAAGGTTGGGTCTTATATATATAAGATACCAAAGGAAGATTTGGATAACATTAACCAATTTTATTGTTTTCTATATTGTTCAGTTATTTTTTTATTTATTTGTCACTATCAGATCACGTTATATATGGTGTAAAATTCATAACTTGTACGAGACAGCAGGGATAGAGGATAAGGTTTAAATTTGAAGACATCCAATCCACGTTGTGACTCACTCACCATCTAAACTTGTTTATTATTTTTGGAAGTGGAAACTGAGGTCCACATCTCCCCAACTTTGCTTCATAAAGCCACTACAGTTATGTATATTCCCACATTTTGATGCGACATATCACGCCTATATAAATCTAAACATGAAAAATAAAGTAATAAAAAAAACTCTGAACTGTAAAATTAAGATTAGTATTATCTATTCGTGGTAGAAACGTTATTTACAGAATGTTTCCTGTAACAAGTTGAACATTTTTAGGATAAGATAAAAGTAGCCCCGTACACAGTTTCAGTTTCTAGGGAAGGTTGAATTTCTTTTTATTATTTTAGATATAAATTGATAGGGAATAATCAAGGTATTTTCAATTGACGGTTTAAATTTTTAAAATAGTCTATTCGTAACGCGGTGCTAAAACTTTTATAACTAAAATGATTTATAATTTAATATTTACAGAATTCATTCTTCTGCATAAGTTTTTAATGTTTTATTTGGTTGAATAGAAAAAAAGAAATTGAAAGAAAAACAAGAGAAAAAATGACTTTTTAAAGATAAATTATTTTTTTTCTTTCCATTTTCTTTTCATTCAAGGTTTTTTTTCTTCTTTCCTATCAATATATTTTTCCATTCATCCAAGCGGGCCATAAAATCTATATCGAATTGACGAGTGATTTAAAAGTCATTTTTGTGTTGGTTGTAATATGTTGATTGCTAAGACATTCCACCCACGTGGACTAACCTCATAGATGGATTGGAATGCGCCGGCATCATCCAAACATTAATCTTGCATCTTTCTCTATCACGTGGAATATTTTTTATTTTTTTATTATGAAATATGTTAATAATATTTTCTAATTTATCCAATGAAAATTTGCATGGACCTCGTTTAGAAATGAAAATTATATATATATATATATATATATATATATTAAAGGAGTCCATTTTGATAAGAAAAAAAAAATTATCTTGGGTTGGATTATCACTTCCTGACAATAACTAAGCAAGATCCAACTTATTTATAAATTCAAATCTTAAAATCAGATGATATAAATTTTAAAATGGATTCGAATTATATTTTAAGTAATTATAATTCGACATTCATTCTTTTTAAATATATAAATTCTTAAAATAATTATGTATTAATAATAGATTTTTTTTAATAAGAAATACTTTATATAATATTATATTATATCATAAGAAACTATATATTTTATAATATATATGATAAAATAATCTTAATATAAATTTTGTATATCTTTTATTTTATTATTTAACTATACATATGTTAGTCATGGACCTCGTTTAGAAATGAAAAATATATATATATATATATATATATATATATTAAAGGAGTCCATTTTGATAAGAAAAAAAAAATTATCTTGGGTTGGATTATCACTTCCTGACAATAACTAAGCAAGATCCAACTTATTTATAAATTCAAATCTTAAAATCAGATGATATAAATTTTAAAATGGATTCGAATTATATTTTAAGTAATTATAATTCGACATTCATTCTTTTTAAATATATAAATTCTTAAAATAATTATGTATTAATAATAGATTTTTTTTAATAAGAAATACTTTATATAATATTATATTATATCATAAGAAACTATATATTTTATAATATATATGATAAAATAATCTTAATATAAATTTTGTATATCTTTTATTTTATTATTTAACTATACATATGTTAGTATTGATATATTGAATTTAAATATCAAATTCATCCAATTCCATTTTATATATTTTAAATTTCGATTGAGTTGAGTTTGAATTTAAATAAATAATCTGATAAATTTTTCGAACAAGACTAAATTCATCCCAACCCATAACAATATAACATATATATTTAAAACTTTACTTTAGATTAATGTTAATTATTTAAATTAATAACAATATAACAAATATAAAAATATATTTTAAAATTTAATTTACATTGTTATTTTAAATTAATAACATTACATTTTTAATAAAATATAAAATAATTTATATCTATTTTAAAATATTTAAATTTTTATATAAAAAAATTTAATTATATTATTCTAATTAACCCAATTAATTTAAAATTGAGTTGAATTGAATTAAAATTTATATATATATATATATATATATATA